TACGAATACGTTTACAGAATCCCGAGTTCTTCTGAAACCATCAATACTAGCAACCAAGGTGAGAATAGTTCCATATAGTAAACATATGAGAACTGTTTGTATGAGGATAGAACTCCTGGGTTGTTCTCCTACTCCTAACCCTCTTCCACTAGAGAACTCTGATAGAACAAAGTTTCTTGGAATATTAATCGGAGGACTGTTAACCTTGTCTGTTCTACTCCTGGGAGTTATCCTGGTTCTACTTAAGAGAAGAGGATTAAAGAGATATCCTAGTCTTAGTAGTGTATCCATATCCAGCAGTATACTGGAGAAATATCACGGAGATGAACCTGAACCTGTTTACCAGGAACCTGGAGTATATTCATCTCCAACCTTATTCTCCGAGTATTCTTCTCCTCTCTCACTTATATACTCTACACCCCAGAGTATTTATCAAGTTTATCAATCTCCCAGCAATCTTAATCATTCATTCACTGATTTTTCCTACCTGGAGGAATCATCCGTAGATTCATCCTCATCCTCCGGAGGAACTCCAAGACTGCCTCCGATACCCACCTCCAACATTGAGGATTTTATTTTCTTATCTCCGATCTACTACAACACATCTCAACACACTTCGCTATAGTGATCCTCCATTTCGTGCTTCTAGTCCATTATTTCTCTTAAATTGTATTTTCTACATATTTGTTGAAAAAATTAGGTCTTTAAATAACGTAATATTTCCTATATTAATTATTAATCAGTCATATGTTGTATTTTTATATAATAATACATTTTTTTAACATGTTAAGATTCTAATCATTAGTAAAACAGGTTCATTATAGATCCATATTAAAGTATATAGAGTAGAGAGTAAGTATAGAACCAGAAAGGTTTTTGACAAGTTTCTTAGTATTTATCTTCCACAGATAATTTACCAGTGTAGAGGAGTACCTGGAGAAAACATTTATTTCAAGGAAGACAGACCAAGGGGAATGAAAGACGTAAAAACAGCAATACAGTTGAGATACATTAATAGTATCATTATCAAATGAAAGGAGATTAAAGTTTAATACAGTGGTAACCGGAAAACAATGGAATAATTGTCGTCTTTTATCTGACTAAATTGTGAAATGTGAAACTAAAACATTTAAAAATCAAAAAATCTTGAGCGATATTTCATAATCATTTACAGAAAGAACTAAAACAGCAATCATTCAACATTTTTTGGTTCTCATAAAAAAAATACATAATAGGTTTATAAAGAATTAACATTTTTAAGATTATGGAATAATTTTCTAATGGTTGATGATAAAGATTAAAGAATAGATGAATCTTACAATAAAGTTTTGATACTTGATGATAAACATTAAAGAATAGACGGATCTTAGAATAAAGTTTTAATACTTGATGATAAAGATTAAGGAAAGGATGGATCTTAGAATAAAGTTTTAATACTTGATGATAAAGATTAAGGAATAGATGGATATTAGAATAAAGTTTTAATATTTGATGATAAACATTAAAGAATAGATGGATTTTAGAATAAAGTTTAATATTTGATGATAAACATTAAAGAATAATTGAATTTTAGAATAAAGTTTAATACTTGACAATAAACACTAAAGAATAGATGGATTTTAGAATAAAGTTTAATATTTGATGATAAACATTAATGAATAGATGGATTTTTGAATACTATTTTAAAGGGAGTGTTCGCGAAAAATAAAAGGGCTTACGGAAAAAAATAATCGATTTTGATCACCACTAATCTTACTTCTGTCTGTTGAGTTTATAAATTGTTAAAAACGACTCATACTGAAGAACGTAGCGTCCATACAAATTCAGTTTGGTGGATGATAAAGAATAAAGAATAGTTGGATTTTAAAATGAATTTTTAAGCTTTGATGACACAGATAAAAATAGATGAATTATAGAATATATTTTTTACCGCCTTTTGAACAACATTACCGACCCATGATTCCCTTAACAGATGGACGTTTAGCTACTTAACGTCCCTTGGGACAATTGAGTGAACAAACCACCCGCTCTTTAAAGGAATTGAGTCTTAGCAACAAATCCCAATTTTCTAATACCTATATATCTACAACCAAATTATGTAAATCTAAGATATTTCAAATTTTGATTATTTGATATAACAGAAGTCAAAGTTTGAAATATCTAAGGTCTACAACGTTGGGTTATTAAGATATAGGGATTTAAAAACCAGAATTTGTGGCAAAGACTCAACTCCTTTAAATTAAAAATTTAACTCCACCACGGCCCGTGTTCCCTCTTACAATTTTTCCTGCAAAAATTTCCTAATAATTAATTACATGTTAAAAAACAATTATTGATAAAATGATCGATAATAAAGATTACAGAATAAATAGATGATCCATAGTTCAGAAAATTGACTAATGTTTCCTAAACTAATCGATTCTAATTCTGAGTTTTACTGAAACTAATAGGTCTGAGAGGTGAATACTACAAACAGGATGGATTGAAGAGCAGTTGGTTTGGGGATACAGAATACAGATGTGTTGTCAATCCAACCGATCAATTGATTCATTAAATATGATAAATGTTCACATAACTCATTCTTAGTCAATTTATTGATTATAGTTTTATCATTAATGGGGAGAGAGGGATTGTGGCCCCCCTGCTGTTAGAATTTGTATAGATATTAGTAAAACAATTCCTGGTCACCAGCACTAAATTCTACCCTGAGCAAACAACATTCCATCTTATTCCATCAGTTCAAGAGATCTTAGTGGTTTACTAAAGGAGCAATCTGCCGCCTTATCTCAGATCTAATGATTTCAAGAATTTTTCACCATTTTAAATACCCCAATTAACCTATTTTTTGTCTTAAAAACCTCAAGTCACCAAAACGGATGTTTAATTGAAGTAGTTCATATTCCTCCTGTACTGCTAAGTAGTTCCTATTCCTTCTGTATCCATGAGTAGTTTATATTCCTTCTCTATCCCTGAGTAGTTCCTATTCCTCCTGTATCTCTGAGTAGTTCCTAATCCTCCTGTATTGCTGAGTAGTTCCTATTCCTTCTGTATCACTGAGTATTTCCTAATCCTCCTGTATTGCTGAGTAGTTTGTATTCCTTCTGTATCCCTGAGTATTTCCTATTCCTCCTGTATCTCTTAGTAGTTCCTAATCCTCATGTATTCCTGAGTAGTTCCTATTCCTCCTGTATCCCTGAGTATTTCCTATTCCTCCTAATATCCCTTACTAGTAACTTTCCTATTTGCATGGTTCCTTGTTCCATATGGTTCAGCATAACATCACAAAGAACACAAAGAAAATACATATGTTTGTATACTTTATACGCTGTATTGTGTAAATGATGACTATTTATACTATAAAATAACAAACACGAGAAAACAATCCAACGTATATCCCTCTTTTAAAAAAAATTTACCGTGGTTTTGGTACAAAGCAACCCCACCGGATGAAAATTTGCAAGAATGACGTGATCGAGAACCCACTCTTTTCCACAAATCGTTGAAGTCTATTTTAAAACAGTATTTGTGAGAGAATGGCACTTCAGTAAACATCTCAGGAATATTGATAACGACACCAACCATATATAAAGAATTCTTTTGATAAGTTTAATTTGTGTTTGTAAAATATTAACATACAAGACTTATTCTAGAAAAACGCTACACTCATAAAACGCTACTTTGGTAAAACGCTACCCCATAAAATACTTCACTAATAAAACACTAGCAAAGAAAAAAACGCTACTCTGTCAAAATATCATAATATTAGGTTTGATTTTTAGATTGGATTATAAATTCTATTTTTTATAGATTATTACTTAAGTTTTCGTAACTTTACCGTTAAAGGTTAAGGGTTACGAAGCCAGGGATGGGGGGGGGGAGGTTGTAAATGGTCAATTATTATATCGTGTATTGCAGTATTGGCACAACTTTTAGGGTTGGATCGGCGCGGGGCAGGTTGGGGTGATGGGAAGCGATGAAATTAATCTTCAAAATTATTTCAAATACTTAAATCTGTCTTTAATTTTATGTCAACCACCTTCGTGATATATTATATCTTAATTATCATTTTGCATAAATCCAGTATTTTCACTATTCCGCCATTAGTGTCTGTGTAGCGAGTGTAGTATGAGTGTTTAAAGGTTCTAAAACAGTTTCTTTTAAAAGCAGCATTCAAACCAAGGGTGTAGTGCAAGGAAAGTTAATTGCGGTCGTGTATACTCTAAGGACACATTGAAACCAGTTCTCTTTGGGCGGAATTTGTAAACAAGAATAGATGCATCAGTGTTCGTTTAGTATCCGAGGAGGTTAAAAGCATTTGATAATTTGATAATTCAAATAATAGTTTCCTATGACCAGAATATTTCATTGATTTTTTTATGTGAAAGATGGCTCCCATGTCAGGCTTTGACATCTGTCTTGTGTTTACATTACCGCCCAGAGACAGTACACTGCAGTACAAAAGATGCGTACACTTCTGAAATAACTTTCCTTGCATTACATCCTTGATTCAACCCACTTTTCCTGAATATTTTCCTGACGTGACACCTTCAGGGTGTTTTTTTCATTATGCCAAAAGTATTTGACATTAGACACGTGTGAAAAAAGATGAAAATTCTACTCCAAAGACAGTAAGGAACCAAAGTTAAAATAATTGAAAAAGGTTGTAAACCTAATGACATTGAACAAGTGACGTAATATTGCAGAAAATATGTTGATTTACATTAAAAACTACTTTCTCAAGCTTGATTTAAACCTACAGAATATGTTTGACGTCAAAGTCAGAAAAAATAATCAAGCAGAAGGTTACAATTATGCACTGGGCAGTAAAACCCATATTCATATATTAAGTATAGTGTTTTAATAATAGTTGAATAATACGTCCAACAATGCTTTGGTGGCTGTGATGTCAAAATCAAGGAAAGAAGTTTCAACAAATTATCAGAATCGAACATTCATCAGTAATACAACATTCATCAGTAATACAACATTCATCAGTAATACAAAATTCATCAGTAATCCAACATTCATCAGTAATATATCATTCATCAGTAATCCAACATTCATCAGTAATACAACATTCATCAGTAATACAACATTCATCAGTAATCCAACATTCATCAGTAATACAACCTTCATCAGTAATCCAACTTTCATCAGTAATATATCATTCATCAGTAATCCAACATTCATCAGTTATCCAACATTCATCAGTAATATATCATTCATCAGTAATACAACCTTCATCAGTAATCCAACATTCATCAGTAATATATCATTCATCAGTAATATATCATTCATCAGTAATCCAACATTCATCAGTAATACAACATTCTGAAAGTTTTATTGATATTGTCTCATTCTTCTGAGCCATGGGAACTTTTTTGTTGGAGACTCATAACCCCGATCTCGATATCCAGTGTGGACACTTTAAATTTGAGAATCAATGCTTTATTTCTTCATTTCAGTTATCCCGGGGTACACTGCGGAATGCAGATATCGAATAAAGATTAAATCAATCTGCAGATTATAAAAAGATCTAGATCAGGTATTGATCTCGAAATGTATATATTTGCCAATTTGTAAAAATATACAACACGTAACAAGTTATTTAACCTTAAACACCTTTTTTGTCTAAATTAAAGATTTTATAGTTCGACAATTATTGAATTCGAAATATGTTTGTACCATATTTAGCAATTTTAAAGAGGTTTATGGATAAATGTAGTATTATGCTTAATTTATATATGTTGTTGGTTAATTAGACAAAAATTTAAATATTTGTTAGCATATTCTAATTTAAACAAAAAACGAAACATGCAAATATAAAAATGATAGAGTAGCGTTTTTTCTTTACTAGCGTTTTATGAGTGTAGCGTTTTATGATGTAGTGTTTTGTGAGTGTAGCGTTTTATGAGTGTAGCGTTTTACTATAGCCGGCCTGTGATATGATATATTTGAAATTAAAATATTTGATGTTTTAATAAATAAATAATGTTTAAATCTTATAGACAAAACCTTGAAAAAATCTTGGTTCGCCGCCCCCCCCCCCCCACCCCCGGACACACATGAATACACAAGCACACTGCATTTAGTATCCATAACAGGCTGTGCATAATGTATATTGTAAACAATATTTCTGCGCTGAATAATTAACTGTATAGCCTTGTTGTGTATATATATAAGGATGGGTGTATCTATATTGAATAACCAATATATGAATGGAAACACTAGAGTAATGATACTACTATCTATATGTATCTCTGGGTCAGTTTCAAATTATTTTAATTTAGAACCTATCTTCTGACAATATAATTAATAAAGGGAACTTCTACATATATCTAACAATATATTCAATATATTATTAGATATATGTTCTCTAGCTGCTATGATGCATGCTCCCCTCTTCCTGCTATGATGCATGATTCCCTGTTCCTGCTATGATGCATGCTCCCCTATTCCTGCTATGATGCAGGATTCCCTGTTCTTGCTATGATGCATGATTCCCTGTTCCTGCTATGATGCATGATTCCCTGATCCTGCTATGCATGCATGCTTCCCTCTTCCTGCTATGATGCATTCTCCCTACATCTGTTATGATGCATGCCCTCTCCACCTGCTAAAAAGCATGCCCCCCCCCTCCCCCTGATATGATACATGCCCCCTTTACCCCAGATGACACACGACACCTGGAACCCTGTGACCTTAAACAGTTCTCCTGTCTCCTGGTGTACCTTAACCTAGCTTGTCTAGTATTTACAATATTGGAATCTTGTATCCCCCCCCGTCCCCCCCCTTAATTTTTCTTATTCTCCTGTAATGTTCTCTTTTTCTGCTATACCACCACCTAGTATGCCTGCTTTCTTCTATCATCTTCACGTGTGTTTTATCATTTGAAATTCAAACCTTTCTTTTGATTTTTAACATCTTTTAACCTACAGACAATATCTTCTAAAGACAATATATTTTACACTGCTACATCTTCTTAAGTCAACATCTTCTACAGAAAACATCTTCGATTGTCAACATCTTCATAAGACAATAGCTTCTATAGACAACATCTTCAATAGTCAAAATCTTCTATAGACAACATCTTCTATAGATATCATCATCTACAGACAACATCTTATATAGACAACATCATCTCCAGACAGCATCTTCAATAGACAAAATTTGCTACAAACATCTTCTGTAGTAGACAATATCTTCTATTGACAACATCTTCTATAGACTACATCTTTATTAGACAACATCTACTATGTTATAGTCAACTGTAGCCAACATCTGCTACAAGCACAATCTTCGGAAGACATCACCTTCTGTAGAAAACATATTCTACAGTCAACATTTTAAGAGACAAAAGAAGGAAAAAATTTTCAAGAGGAAGTTACGATTTTAATTTTAAAGTTGTAATTGCTTTGAGATCAATTCCTTTCTTTCAGCTTTTATCCTTTTATTTCCCGATATATTTCTTTCTGCTTAATGCAGCCTTTTAGATTTTGTTCGGGGGGGGGGGGGGGGTAGCAGAGCTGGTTTGAAGATTTTCTCTTCCGTAAAATTGGAAATAAGATTGGAAAAATTTGAAAGAATTTACAAGAGTGCTAGGCCTAGCTTTATAGTGCAGAAAACGGAGGATCGTGAGAGTTAAAATGTTTAAACCTTTCAAGATTTGGACAGGAAGAAGCAAATTTTCTTAAAAGGAATCAAATCCGTCTCAGAATTAAACTCAAATCCCATTTCTGTTCATTTCGCTGGATCCTAGAAGTTTAATATTTTTGAATTGAAAAATCTGGTTTCCAACCATAAACTATCCTCCCATCTTCACTCAGCTCTCATCTGAAACAAATTTGAATATTCCAAGATCAAAGATTTGCAAACTAATTTCTCTCAACAGAGGAATTCACTTTAACTTCTCCGTAATACTGGTGATAAGTTTAGGGAGCCTAGACCAGGCTTAGATACACTCCGGTAGGTTTAAAAGGAAGGATAAGACGATTTGCTGTATCCTGTATCCGAAAAGGGACAAGGCTTCAGAAGCAAGACACCAAATAAAATTTTACACATTTACTTGAATTTTTTTGGCTAAAAGAAGTAAAGAAAATTAATGCAGGGAAGGGAAACTTCAGTTAATGAAAATAAGAGAAATAAGCAGAAGAAGCTGAAAATATTTAATTATACCTAAAAGTTTTACATTTTAATTCGTAAAATCCACAAGTTTGATCAAAATGATCAGAACTAACTATGTACAAGAATCTGAACAAATTTTATAAAAAATCACTTGCTTTATTTCATAGTTCATCTTTGGAAGTGCGGCGGCCATGTTGTGAATTTTCAGCAAACGTTGCTTCTGGAAAATGCATGCCGTGCGCAGACCAGGGAATATTGTGCGGCAAATATGATCTCGCGATAGGTTCAAAAGTAATGGCGTCGATTATGACGAGATAGCTTTTACTCTTTTCTCCATCAAAAACAATTGTAATAAGAACACCGTCGTCTTCACTCTTTGGATCTAAAAAAAGGTAAAAGATAAAAGTAAAATTCATTTTCGTATCTGCTTTAAATTAAATGAATAAACATTTACAAAGCTGTCTTAATTTGTGTACCTGGAGATTCTAGGAACCACATCTCGGAGCTGTAATGGTTCTCAACATACCAAACCTTATCCTGGGTTCCATCACAAACATTTTTCTTCACCAAAGCAATCCTGGAGTAGTCAAATGCGGCCCAACCGAACACATAACAGTACTTCTTCCCCCTGAACCTCTCATTGATCACCGGGAAATCAAAATGGTTTGTCCACTGTGAGTTGGTTGGGTTTGGTAGGTATGAGTGTGATATCTTCTGTGTGGTAAGGTTTATGGTGTATCTAGTAAACTCCTCGTTCTTGTTGGTTGATACTCCGCTACTAGTAGTCGGAGGATTCATCATGTTTTCTAACAGAAAATTCAAATTCTAATTCATTTTACGGTAGAGATATTATTAATTTATTTTCGAAGGGAAGTAAGTTTTAGACTGGGAATTAAACAAGGATGAATTGCAAAAGTTAATGCGACAACAATCAGACCAATTCTAAAGGTTAATTTGTTCTTTAGATCTTCTTTTATCCAGTTTTTACTGCGGTATCTCAGTTAAATCATAACAGAATACAAAATAGATTTTGCGAGGTTGCGTGAGAAACGAATGTTTGAGGTTTCGTGATTTCTGGAAAATATCAAAGAATTTGTATTTCTGTTACCTAGCTTTAGATAATCCCGCATATTAACAAATGATGTAGGACACAGATCAAGTATTAACTCATCCTGAGATGGAATTTAAAGAATTTGAGCCGCGGTTTAAATCCGCCGAAACCCGGTTTAAATTAAGCGCCGGTTTAAATCTTGAAACATTTGATGTAATTTTAAGAGGAACCAACCATATTTAAACCGCGGCTTAAATTTAAACCGCCGCTCAAATTCTTTAAATTCGGCCACTGATATTAAATACAGGTTAAATACGATCAAAGATATAAACCTTAAATGAATTTTTTTTTTTTTATTCAGAAAACGAATCAAAACTTTTTTGGGTGTTTAAAAAATATATATATAGACACTATTTATAGATATTTGTACTATACAATTCGCACAATGATATACATCGGAGAGAAAAAAGTATATCTTGACCGATAATTTTATTATGATTTTAAATATTTCCAATTTCAATTTTTTAAAAGCATTTATTTAAGATCTCAGGGGCCAAGAGAATTAGTTGAACCGCATTGACTAAGCTGAACCGTTTCTCTTTAACTACGCATAAGAGGAGTTGTTTAGCTTAGCTCAACTACTCGCTATTCATCAAAAGGAAATTGAGTCTTTGCCACAATTACTGATTTTCTAATCCCGATATCTATACAACCCAATGTCGTAGTCGTAATCTTAGATATTTCAAACTATGAATTCAGTTAATTTAAGTTTGAAATGTTAAAGGAATTTACATCATCAGGTTGCAAAGATAATGGTAGTAGAATATTTGAGTTTGTGGCAAAGGCTCAATTCCTTTTGCCTGTGTTGTTTACCTTATTTGCTCTGTAAGCGTTGACATGATGAACTGAGTATATTGGATCTGTCTCAAGCTGAGTTACATTTCCTGTTTTTAAATCCACAATAAATACATCGGTCATCTCGCCCTCCAACCATTGAATCAGCTCAAACACGTGGAAGTTGGCGGAGAAATATAACTGAAAATATTCGCAAATTTAATTCAACCAACTTTGCAATATTTATCATACTGATCACATAGATCCAGACAAATATGAAAAGTTACATCAATTTTCAAGACTGGGTTGACTTTAAAGTAACACAGCGCCTTGGGCTTTGATTTTATCGCCCTAACTCGCGTATACTTTTTTGTAACACTAGACATCTTCATTAAATAACTTTAAAGCATATGTTTTTATTTTTAGTTTTGGAGAAATAATTAGCAAAATTCTCATCGATTTTGGCGTGAAAGCTTGCAACCTTTGGATCAATGTGAGATTATTTAAATAAAAGCAAAATATGCCCAGACAGGATAATCTTCAAATATTTATTTGACGAAACTCAAGCTTTTAAACCGTACGTACTAGATTAGTTTACCTGTACTAGATTAGTTTACCTGAGATGGAATTTAAAGACTTTGAGCCGCGGTTTAAATCCGCCAAAACCCGGTTTTTACCTTTACTAGATTAGATTTTTACCTGTACTAGATTAGATTTTTACCTTTACTAGATTAGATTTTTACCTGTACTAGATTAGATTTTTACCTGTACTAGATTAGTTAACCTGTACTAGATTAGATTTTTACCTGTACTAGATTATTTTACCTGTACTAGATTAGATTTTTACCTGTACTAGATTAGATTTTTACCTGTACTAGATTAGTTAACCTGTACTAGATTAGATTTTTACCTGTTCTAGATTAGATTTTTACCTTTACTAGATTAGATTTTTACCTGTGCTAGATTAGATTTTTACCTTTACTAGATTAGATTTTTTTCTGTACTAAATTAGATTTTTACCTGTACTAGATTAGATTTTTACATGTACTAGATTAGATTTTTACCTGTACTAGATTAGATTTTTACCTGTACTAGATTAGATTTTTACCTGTACCAGATTAAAAAGATCAAAGACGACATTGTAAGGGTTACCTTAGGGTTGACAATGACAGGATAGAAGAAGAAGATTGCAAATTCCTCTGTCAGGGAGAAACTGTGAATGTTTGAGAACTTTTTAGGAGTAAAAGATCCAACCACCTCAGGATCCTGTATCCAGGAACAAATGTCATTAATTGATTGAGGAGCAGAATAAAAAGTGTTGACACAAAGGTTTAATAATTTTGGAAAATTAGTTTTTCGATTTTAGAAATCATTTCAAATTTTTAATTAGTAAATTACTTGACAAACTTAGATTTCAGTCATGAGTCTAAGCCCTCAAGCTGTTTATTAATCAGCTTTTTGCCGGGGCTTTTTGTAGTTTGCATGTTTACCTGATATGTACTCTGAGGAGTGTATCTTTGAACCTGGATAAATGGTTTTCCTAGACCCAACCTTGCTTAAACCTCTTTTATCTTTATACAACGTTTACGAAATTGTTCCTAAATTTTCTCAATCTTTACATAGTCGTAATGCGGGTAGGCCCAGTCCTCCTTCACTCCCCCGCCCCCCCCCCATTCTATTCAGCAACTTTTCTCGTCCAGAACTGTAGGGTTAAGCATGGTTTCCTGTAAGGTGTTTCTTTCCCATAAAACTAATCGAGTTATCCGTCCCAATCTCTCGAAGAAAATGTGCACAACCGCTCAGAGTTAAAGGAAACCAGTTGGGGTACTGCATACCTGTATTGTACAGGGTTAATCACAAAGGATAAGACATGAGACGACTGTGCGAAACTTATTCATGCTTTCATAGTTCCTTGTCTACAGAATTGCCATACAGAAGTATGCCAATTGCCAATTAAATGCCTTGTAAGGCAGAAAATTTAAGTTTTAGATCGTTATATTTAAAGATTTCAGGTCGTCATAAACATCTCATTCTTTGTGGGTAACCCTGCAAATAAAAGTTAGATTTCATAACATATATTAGCCAAATCAGTTAAAATGTTTAAACTTTAAAATATCTGTCAGAACAGAACATTTCATAAAAATAAAAAATAAATTTAATTTTACACGGACTGATATATGAGAATGTAAATTATAGGAACTGGAGCCAACTTAAGTTTAAGAAAACATGAAATGAGACCTTTCAAGAATAATTTGCGTTGCATAATGAACGTTGAATTATAAAATTTATCTGTCACGTAATCTTAAACTGAAATATATTATATAAGGTGTTAGGTTAGATCCCCGGTGCAACTTCCCCAGTCACAACTTCCCCGAGACATCTTCCCCAACAGCAATTTCCCCAACAACCAATTTCCCTAACACTAACTTCCCCAGTTGCACTAATTTACCCAACAGCAACTATAAAATTTATCTACCACGTAATCTTAAACTGATATATATTATATAATGAACGTTGAATTATAAAATTTATCTGTCACCTAATCTTAAACTGAAATATATTGTATAATGAACGTTGAATTATCTTATTATTAATCTTAAACTGAAATATATTGTATAATGAACGTTGAATTATCTTATTATTAATCTTAAACTGAAATATATTGTATAATGAACGTTAAATTATCTTATTATTAATCTTAAACTGAAATATATTGTATAATGAACGNCCAGAGAACTGTGACAATTTGACCTTTTAAACATAATTTTTTCTCTAATTCTCTCTTTTATACTTTTTTGCTGCCATATACATTTTAAACGAAAAAGTTTAAGAATGACATACTTCGCTTGTTAAATTATGGACCAACATGCCCCTGGTCATGGACCTGGAAAGAATAAAATGTAAGTTTCTGTATACGCTCCTGAAACGGAAGTATATCAAATAATGCCAAATTCGAGACACTATTGCATTTCCTTTCAACGCGACTTTTAATTCGATCTTTTGCGAATCTGATAATGCTGAAAATAGAATTCCCCTAATTTTGGAATTTTGTAAATGGGGTGTGTACGAAATATGTATAAAATATTTCCCCCCTGCAATGGTTATTCTTTTTAATTAGAAATCCCACCAAGAGTTGAAAGATCTGATATATTGAACCGGATTGGAACAGGAGAATCTGTCATTGCGAGATAGATTCCATTTTCCTGAGATTTCTCTCCCAACCTCCAGACTACAGGGTTGTTGTTGTCAAAAGCTGTTCCAAGAAGAACCTGCAATAAATTAAACATTTAACGGATTGTTAACGTATTTCTACGTGACTATCCAATTAAAGTTCACCATCAAAAGTCTCAAAAATATCAAATTTAAGTATCTGATTTGAGACATGGTCTTGAGCAGATATCAGCAAATATCTTCTGGCTCGTCTTTTCGGTAGAAATTCAGCAACCGTTTTTTTAAACCGCTGTTGGAGGTTCACGTTTTTAATTTAAAAGTTTTAAATGGGGTTATTTTAAATTGTTGTTGGAACTCCTTAAAAAAAGACTGACTAGAATAAATCCCTTATAATCTGTAAATCTTTCATGTTAAGGTTAGAACTATTTCTTAGAATTACTTTAGTTGAGATTTTCAATTTCTCCCAGAGTGTCCACTCTTCATCTTCATTCACAAACTTGTTTAGAGTAGTTTGTGGAACTAGCTCTCCAGCTTCAACACTTGCTGAACAATATTCATTTTAGATATACACTCTACACTCTACACTCTACACTCTACACTCTAAACTCTACACTCTACACTCTACACTCTACACTCTACACTCTA